CCTTGGAGTTGTCCTACACATGATATAAAATGGTCTCTGTCCTCTGTTTTAGGGGGCGTGGGTTGCTCTCCTTGACCTTCCTATGGTGAGGTTTTGTCTTGGCTGTGCTGGTTTGGGGTGATTTATCACTGAGGACACCCATGTTTCTGCAGAGCCATGGTTCTGCCTCCAGAGCTGGTCCTTTGGGGCAGCTTTTCTACATTGCTGCTTTTCAAGTTCCCCTTAGGAGTAGCGTGTGGTGGTGTTTCCTGTATCAGTAAAGGGAAATGTATGTGTTCCTACGTCTGTGCCACCTAAAACCACCGACCTGAGGTTTCAGGTACCTCCAGCTCTGCGAGCTGAGCATTAATGATGATGTTTTCCCTTAGAAGGCCAAGAAGATGTCTGTAAGGTGTTATCTCAATCATCTACTAAATCCCGGCTTTCTGTCTGATGTAGCCATTCAGGCGCTAATTGCCTTTGATTAAGTCAATCATTTGCAGAGTGAGTGGGTTAATTGGGTATTGTGGAAGCAATCAATCTAATCAGCTGCTTGCATCCATAGCCGAGGCGCTACAATGCAGCAGGACAATAATTGTTTTATGAGCTCCTGGAAGGCAGTAGAGGCAGACTGCATGGCAACAGGAAACCTTGCTCTGCAAAATGGCCTTTAGGAAGGGTAATTTGCATGCTAAGTGCTCATTAAGAGAGGAGTGATTGATTAAGAGCTGGGAAATTCTAAACTAATGCCACTAAAACGTGTGTGCATGAGAAGAAGGTGGGTGTCGGGGTGGGGGCACATGGGAGGTCTTGGGCTCCTCTGCCTGGCTGGGTGAGGGGTGGTGAGGAGGTGTTGTCTTAGAGGGGGATGAAGTTCTCTTAAGGGCAATGAAGGGAGATGAGCTGCGAGAGAGTGATGTGTCAGGGACCCATCCTCACACAAGGTGCACCAAGAGCGTCCCTCCCAGGTGTCCTTCTAGGAGCAAAGAGGCTGCTTTGCAGGATCACAAACCTTTCATTTCCAAACGCTGAGCAGTAGCCGCTCTTGGTGGCTCCTCACCTGGTCTGTGGAAGAGGACACCCTGGGGGAAAGGACACCCACCTCCTCAGCAAGCCTCCATGGTCCCTTCCACCTCCTGCATGCGTGGGTGCTGGCATCTCCAACATGCCTGTCTCTGCTCTGCTGAACACGTAACCAGCAGGAAGGGTGTTTATCCAGAGATGACTGCAGAATTATTGTCAGGGAAGTTCTAAGCTCCTCAGCACAGCTGCAAACAGCGGGGGAAAACCAAAAACGAGCTGCTGGTGCTGAGCAGGGGAACGATTGCAGCCTGGACTGCAAGGTCTGAGTTGTTTGACCAACCTTGAGGCTGCTTGCAGGGGGACTACCTTATGTATGGGGAGGATGAGTTTGTCTCTGGACAAAAGGTGGTGTTTTCACTCCGCAAGAAAATTTAGTATTCTTTTTTTTATGATTTTTTTTTTTTTGAATGCAAATGCTTAAAAAATTCAAATTTAAGTCATTGAAATGTCTAGCTTTGGTGGTGGCCGAATGCTACAGGGAGAAATATTACAACCTAAAGCAATCAAACCAAATGATTTACACTGACACAGCCCAACGAGAGGTGTGCAGTTCTGTTTGCAGCACTATTCAAAGTCCAGTCCATAGGGAAACCTTAGAATATGCTGCCTTCTCTGCCCAGCCCTCTGACTGAGGATGGCGTGGCTTATTGCAGGAGAAATAATTCAGAAGAAATGTCCTTCAGACCCTTTGTTTTCAAAGGAAGTTGTGACATTGGTGTCAGTGGTGCTGCGAGGTGTCAGGGATTTGCCATTCAGCTGCTCCCAATAATTATGCAATTCCTTAACCCCGCAGAAAAAGCAGGCACACCATCTCCAGTAAGTATCTCTCTGCCGTTCTGGTTTAATTAACATCTTACAATGTTAATACAGCAGACAACTCGGCTTCTGACACACGGAGAAGTGGCGCTATATACCCTGCAATTTTAGCAGCAAAGCGACGTAGTTGTAGTTAAATCTTCTCCCAAGCTCTGAATTGGGGTCAGGGCACTTTGACTGCTTAGAGCAAAGAAAATCTAGTTCTGCCAGTGGAGATGCCCTGCCAGAACTCCAAGAAAATGTGATTGCTCTTGGATGACACACACGAGTCAGTGTTTTTTCCTATTTCAGCCTCCCATGCTTTGTCTTCTTGCAGCGAGACAAGAAACAACACACTGATGCCTTTGGGCTCGGGTACGGTACCGTCTCTGCTGCTGCTCCATTTTGGATATACTAAATCTGGATTTTGGATATACTAAATCTGGATTTTGGATGTACTAACATATTTCTCCCAAAAGCCTTGGACCAGACCTGGTTTTAACACACCCCCTAGAAACGTCATGGAAACAAGCGGTTCTGGTGCCTCTGTTTCCAGGTGAAATTGCAAAATAAAGCCCCAAAGAAACTGAAGAGCAGATGACGGTTTAATTCCAAGTTTATGATGCTTTGCTTAGGATGGGGGAAAGCAAAGTCCATGCGTGTTGGTTTTGGGGTTTTATTTCAAGTCAGTGGATCTGATTTTCCTCCTTGCTGGAGGGATTTTTTCTTCTCTGAGAGGAAAGGCTGAAACAGAAGGAGTAGTTTCGGGTACTTCCTATAATACGCATTCTCAGAGACCAAAAACCCCATCATTAACTAAGCACCATAACGGCTTTCTGAGGTGGGGAAGTAGCAATATCCCTCTTCTTAAAAAAGGGGGAACTCAAACAAATTGCTGGCAGAAGTTGGATGGGAAGACAGTGTCTACATCACATTGTCTTGATAGAAAATCCTCTCCCTTGCTTCCTCTGCAGCCTCTGGGGCAGGGAGAAAGCTGGGCTGGACCAGAGCACCCAACGGGTCCTGCCAGTTTGAGATACCCGGCTTGGAGGAGCTCCAGCCACCAGCTCAACGGAGCTGACACGAGGCCACGCAATGTCTTCTTTTCAGTCAGCCACCGTGGCGACCTGGTTTTCTTTGTCAGAGTTGTAGCTGTGGTGATGAAGTGAGTGTGGAAGTGACAGTTCCTCATTTCACCTTGGGAACTACGTAACGGGTCAAAAATACCCATTCTGGCTGTGTGACTTCAGGTTGTGTTATGTGCTGTTCCTTGGCCAGCTTTGTCACAACTGCTTGGTGGGTTTTTTCCACAAGTGCCACAGGTTTGTGCAAGAGCTGTCTGCAAGAGCAAGCGATGGGTGTTTCTTCTTGGCAGGGGGCTGAAGGGAAAACTTGATGACTGAACAACAAGGTTGTTAGCAGTGCGAGAGTGATATTTCTAAAGGGTGCCCATAGATGCTCTCCAGCCGGTCTTCAGCAGGTAGTCCTCTCTGCAGTCATGGTTGGGTTGCTGATGATCACAGTTGGGTGCTGATGATCACGGTTGGGTGCCAGTGATCAAGTGGGATGACGACAGTTGGGTTGCTGATGATCATGGTTGGGTGCTGATGATCATGGTTGGGTGCTGATGATCACAGTTGGGTGCCAGTGATCAAGTGGGATGACGACAGGTGCCTGCATCCCTCGTTCTGCATCTTGGGACGTGCTGGTGACACGATGCTGCATTGTCCAACACCAGCAATCAGCAAGTGTTGTAGGGCCAGTGGTCATATTGCTCCAACATAAGCAGAACAGCCCTGGTGAAGGTCTGAGTTGGGCCAGGTATCTCTAAATATGGAGCTGGTGCTAAGGCAGTGCAGCCCCCAGAGATGAGGAGGAGATGTTTCAGTTCTCCGGCTCCGATGCCCTCCGGTGTGAGATCTGTTTCCCTGTTGAGCCTCCTGCTGTTCTGTTTCCCAACACCTTCTCCAGCTGTTCTCACATTCCTTTAGATCAGGACGTTGAGGACACATCTCGCTGACATACTGTTTGCCTGGGGAACCTGGATGAGTTCATGTGGGGTTCAAGTCCAGTTGATGGTGGTTTGCACTGATGGGTGCTGACAGGGGTGCAGGTTTGGGCAGAGCAGAGGAGCAGCTCCTGAGGACACAACCCTGGAGGAAGGAATAATGAAAGAAAGAATAGAAACAAATGGAGGATTTATGAAAATCTGTACCAAAGTATGGTGAAATTAGGTGCTAGCTCTGTCAGAGCAGCCAAGTGCTCCTTTGCAGAGGCGGTTGGTCTGGGAAGAGACAGTGTGTGAACTATGGAAGGGCATTAGATTCAGCATTAGATACGGCACGGGCTGTGCCATCGCGCTCGTCTGTGGCAGACGTGGATGGCTTTGCCATCATAAAGGGCTCTTTGAGGATCTGCAGAAAGTATTTAGCTGAGTTTTGTAATTCCAGACAGAAAAAACTGGCTTTTTGACTATTGGCAAAGGTGTATTTAGCTAGATGGGCACTTTCCCTTCGGTTAGCACCTTAAGCCCTTATCAACTTCCCTTTCCCTTTCCCTTTCCCTTTCCCTTTCCCTTTCCCTTTCCCTTTCCCTTTCCCTTTCCCTGTCCTTCCCCTCTCTTTTCTGATCATTTAATGTGTGTCTGTGCATTTTTTTTCTTGTGTTATGGTTTTTATGGCATGGAAAAGTTTTATTTCGTTTGTGCCTACAGAGTCAGTGTTGAGGAGCCAGCTGAGGGATTTTTCTGCATCTTATGTCTGTGGTTTAAATCAATCCTGTATCAGGAGGGAGAAGTGAAAAGCGTGCTGAGCGAGGCGTTTCTGCACAGCACTGGTTCACAACAGACAGGAGAAGGAGAGGCTCCCGCTGATTCCAGAGCCACTTCACATAGTAAAAATAAGTTCAGTTACTCAGCTGAAAGTTGTTATAAAACATGTCATTTTTAACATTTAAAACTCTAGTTCCTCAGAGCCAGTAACAAAAAATCTAACAAGTGTGAGAGCAGGAGAGAAAGGGAACGCTTTTTCAGTGGGAGGTTCGTACCGCTGTCTCTGTTTTTAAAATACAGTGGTTTTTACCTTATCTCTGTTTTTAAATACAGCATTTTATCCCTGGTTCTCAGCAATTGCTTTCTGCTGCAGGGTACCGAGAAGGGTTTCTGTGGAAGAGAGGACGCGACAACGGGCAGTTCTTAAGCCGAAAATTCGTGTTATCGGAGAGGGAAGGTGCCCTGAAGTACTTCAACAAAAATGACGTGAGTACCTGGGGCTGTTGCGTGCGGACGGGGGATCGCAGCTGCAGGAGCATCTTTGAAGGAGTAGTTCCTCATCCAGTATTTTATTTATACCATTTTCACAAGCACTGAGCCCCCAGTGGCTCCAGGAGAAGAGCTTACTGCTCTCTTCAGTGGGGTTTGCTCTTGTCCACCACCACCCCAGCCATGGTGAGACACCCTCACTGGCCACGTCACATGTTCCTACTCTGTTGCCCTTTAAAATCAATCAGGCTTTTCTTAAACCACCACCGAAGGAGTTTTTCTCAGCTCTGGCTCTGCATCATCCAGCTGATGGGGGTTTCCTATTTTTGGCCAACTTGTGATGAAGGTATCACCACCTTGCAGCAGTCACTGGGGTCTGAAACCTCCTCTGCGTGGTGCAGGGAGCAATCCAGAGGAAGAGCTCCCTGTTTTTCTGTTCCACATCAAGCAGGGTGGAAGCATTTGTCTTTTTCCCCCAGAGCACATTTCATTTATTGTAAGTGAGAAAGGGAGCTATTACCATGAAAATTGCATTTGGGATGAATGGATGGATGCTCTACTGTTTTGCACCATGTAATGGAGGAAACCAAGGTGTTTTCTCTGCCCTTCGAGCCTCCCCAGAACATCGCAGCTGAGAGCAGCCCAGACCACACCACCAGCTGGTTTTTCTCAAGTAGTTGATGCAACTGTGGTGTCATGATGAGCCACACCACGCAGAGGAGGGGGACATCCATCCACGCTTCTCCACGCCCGGTGGCCAGCGTTGATGGCACCGTCTTCTCCCTCGGCGTGGTGTGGTGTGTGGTATGGTGCAATGGCATCTCGTGGACAGGAGAGAGCCAGTCATTACCGAGGGAGAAGTGAAAGTCCCAGCAGCCCCCATTCAGTCACTATTGACTGCTCCAGTAGGTTTAAGCTGCGTTGTTTCGTTGTTGACCATAGCCATGGTGGGAATGGCACTGTGTAGACGTGTCCTCTTCGCTGGGGTTTCCCTGCCGTGGTCACCCGTGACGGTTGCGTGTCCACGGCAAGTCCCCAAGTTCCCAAAGCAGCACTAGTATCTCCACCAGCTCAGGGACTTCCACGTGGTGCTGGGGACCATGGCACCACTGGGCGACCTTCTGCTGGTCCCTGGCTCTGCCCTAAAACTGCAGTTATCAAGAGCTTTTTTGTATTTTTTTGGATGTTTTATTCAGGCTTGCCCCTTCGGTGCAGTCCTGAAGGGGTGGTAAACTTCTAGAGGTGTTTTGTAGGAAGATGAACCACGCTGCAAAGTTCAAGTGACCTGCCACAGAGGGTGCAGGTGAGATTGGTGCCTGGGAGGGTCTGATCCTCTCTGCCCCTTGGGCTAACCCACCCGAGAGGTGGGCTGTAAGGAAGATATTTGTTCCTCTGAAAGGAAAGTTCCCAGTTTGGAGGGCAAGGAGAGGAGCAGAGTCGGAAGCCAATGGGAGAGGATGGGACCAGTGGGACATGGGCACAGTGCCCCCCACCAGCCTAGCACCCCGGTCTGAAGCTGGAAAGGGGGATGATCCTCCTCCTTCTTGGGCAAGGATGAACTTGCTGTGGGTGCTTGAGGTGCAGAAAGCATCCTGACCTGTTAGTTAGCAGTCTGCATTTTTCTTTGGTCTGGCTGAATGGATTTCTTTCTTCTTTGATGGTGCTCATCCTGGTGTAAATACCGGTGATTTATCATTAGGTAAAGAGGCTGGAGGAGGTCTAGGGGTGAGGAGATGGCTGGACAGAGGCTGAGACAGGAGACATGGTGAAGATGCACAACATCCTCTCACGAGGCTTGGCCTGTCCATCTGCTTCTGGGGTGAAACCTTTCTCCTCTTGAACTCTGCTGAGTTTTGCAGGGCAGAGCATTCTCCCGGGCTGGCAGCAAACATTCACTGATGCCCAAGCAAAGTCTCTGATAGCTCATCACCAGGCAGTTTTGTGGGCTGGGAGTCAGGGTTTTTTTTAGCTAATGGCCTCAATCAGGAGTTTTTTTCTGACCAAGTGAACCGCTTTCCGGATGAAAGCCAATTCTCAGGTGTTTGCTCACTCAGCTGTGTTTTCCAGGCAAAAGAACCCAAAGCAATTATGAAGATCGAACATCTAAATGCGACTTTCCAGCCTGCAAAAATCGGGAACCCACACGGACTGCAGATCACTTACTTGAAGGACAATAGCACAAGGAACATCTTTGTCTATCACGAAGATGGGAAGGTGAGAGCCTGGAGGAGGCTGGGGTTTGGGGTCCTGGGGGCTGATGCTGCTCGGGGCCGACCAGTGGCTCTGAGCAGGCTCTGACCCAGCTGGGGGTTGCTGGGGGGGTGTGGAAGGGATGGGGGTACAGGATGCACAATCAGTTTTGGGGGAATAAAAGATGGATGGATGAAGCAGGTCGCTTTGCTGCTGCCCCAGAGCTTCACAGGACAGGACAGCATCATGCCACTCGGCTGGAGATGTTCCTGTGTGAGGTGGCTTCCTCAGCTCCTCAGTGTGTCCTGATGGCAAACGAGGGACTGAACCCAGCCCCAGCACCCTGCTGGAAATGGGTTTATCTGGGCGCTTCCGTGATGCGGGTGTCTTTATAACAGCAGGGCAGGATGGTGTGGGGCTGTGACCCTTCTAAAGGACGTTTCCGTGGTCCCTTGTTAGGACTTGCCCACCACCAGATGTACTGAGGCACCTGCTGGAGGTGGAGACCGATCCTCTGTGTGGGGTGACGGCTCCATGGGGACTGTCCTGTCTCCTGGAGGCACCTCAACTGCTGCTTCTTGCCAGGGTTGTCCATGTTGGGGGTGCAGGGCTGGAGCCCAGCAGCCTCTACCTGCTCCCAGAGGTGGGAAAGGGAAAGAATCCAGAAGTGGCTTTTCCCACCACCCTGAGCTCCTGTGCCTGGGGCTGAAGCTCCCTCTGCAGGACTTCTCCTGGAAGGCTGCTCCTGGAAGGCTCAGGGTGCTGCTGCCATCCCTGGGGTAACCATCGCCCTCAGGATGCGGGAAGGGAGAGGGGAGACCTTGGTGCCACCTTTCTGTACTTAGAGAAAGATGGGGACAATTTTTTGGGCAGGGCCTGCTGTGATAGGACAGGGGGTAAAGGCTTTAAACTGAAAGAGGGAAGATTTAGACTAGATATAAGGAAGAATTTTGTTATGCTGAGGGTGGTGAGAGACTGGCCAGAGAGGTGGTGGCTGCCCCATCCCTGGGAATATTCCAGGTCAGGATGGATGGGGCTCTGAGCTCCCATCCCTGGGAACGTTCCAGATCGGGTTGGACGGGGCTCTGAGCAACCTGGTCTAGCTGAAGGTGTCCCTGCTCGTGGCAGGGGGTTGGACTGGATGGCCTCTAAAGGTCCCTGCAACCCAAACTAGTCTACTGCTCTCTTTTATGGCTGTTTTTATTTATTTTTTAGGATTTTGCTGAACTGCGCTCTGTCACGTGGGATGAAGTTGGGAGGGATGAAACGCAGCAGGATCACGTTATTTTATGTGCAAACTCCACAGCTCTCACTCACTATGGTTTTTCTTCCTGTTTGTTGGGAGGGATGAAATGCAGCAGGATCACGTTATTTGATGTGCAAACTCCACAACTCTCACTCACTATGGTTTTTCTTCCTGTTTGTTAGGAAATAGTGGATTGGTTCAACGCCATCCGGGCAGCGCGGTTTCATTACTTACAAGTGGCATTCCCTGGAGCCAGCGACGTTGACGTGAGTTTTCCTGCAGTTTGGGGGTTTTTCCTGGTTTTTTTTGTTTGTTTGTTTGTTTTTTGCCCCCTCTTGCTCATTTTTATCATCTTGTTAATAAGCTGGAAGGCTTGGAGGGGGCTCCGTCCTTCAACTACTGGGCTTGAAGTGGTGGTGGGTGTAGAGCCCACGTGCAGCTCCTGCCTTGGAAACCGTGTGTGTGTGTGTGTGTGTGTGTGTGGCCCCCTCTTGCTCATTTTTAGCATCTTGTTAAGAAGCTGGAAGGCTTGGAGGGGGCTCCCTCCTTCAGCTGCTGGGCTTGAAGTGGTGGTGGTGGGTGTAGAGCCCACATGTGGCTCCTGTCTTGGAAACTGTGTGTGTGTGTGTGTGCACGTGTTCACACTGGGAGTGTGAGTAACCCCGGGGCTGTCACACGAACAGGAGCCACGAGCATCCTTCCCAGAGGTTGTTGCTGGGGAATGGAAAGCCCAAACAAAGGCTGAGGGTAGGAGGGGTGAGGGCAGAGGCTGTGCCCGATGCTCTGGGGGGGGGTGGCTCCTGCACCCGCTCCCATCACTCTCTGTCTGGCATTTCCCGGGAGCTGGAGCTGTTAATTGCATTAATGTTTGCTAATAGAGCAGTGGTGGCAGCGCTGGGACACGCTGGCTGTGCCACCACTCGGGGCGGGGGTGACTCTCTGCTACCTCCCTGACTTTTTGCAGTTCAATTGATTACCTTCCTCCTGTTAATTACCCAGGAGGGGGCCAGGGCTGGCGCTGGGCTGCAGGGTGGCTCTGCCCCACAGCACCCCCGGGGACCCCCGGGTTAAAGCCTTCCTGTCCCGCCAACATCAGCCACCCCAAATGGTCCCCATCCCTGGGGAGAGGGAGGGGAGGAGAAGAGGGGTCCCACGGCTGGTGGTCCCTGGCTGGAGGGACTGCAGACCCTTTTCTGATGAGAAGTTAAACTGGGGGAATATGAAAAACCGTGCGAGCAGCCTCGTTAGCGGGCTCGTTAGTACAGTCACTGTGCAGTGTGTAATGCCTGTAACCACGGCTCCCCCTCTCCATACCCTCTACTGCTCTTAAAGTTGGTTGGCACATCCTAATTAAATTGCACCCAATACCCCCAAAACAGACCTTAATAGAGTCGCCGTTTGTCCAGCAGTTGGTGAGCGGGTTGATGCACTCACCCCCTGGCAGTTTTGGTGGGAGATAAGATATTTATATTTTTATTTATCATCCCCTTCACGCCAATTACTCTTTGGAGGAAACAGAGCGGTGTAGTGTTTAGCGAGGTTTGATTTATGACCTTGAAATACTGAACAGCCCATCACTGTGTGGATGCTTGGGTTACATACACAAGGTAGCTCTGTTCTGGGTGTTGCCATCATTTACATCTAATTTATGATTCCTTTACCCCGTTGGAGAGATGCAAAGGCATTAAATCTAAACAGGAGCCAGGTTAAATGCAGGTAGAGAGGTATAAATTGCTCACACCACCCTAAGGATGCCCAGCTGTGGGGATCCTCCTCTGAAGGATGCCTCGGGTCCCACCTGCAGGGTGGAGGAACCTCTCTGCTCCGAGGGTGAGGAGCTCCTTGCTTGGCAAAGTGTCCTCAGCCCCATCCAGGAGCCAAACGCCGGGGCTACAAAGGCTGCAGAGCCCCTCACTGCCCACCCAGGAGGGTCCAAGGAGAAGATGCTCCTGGCTCCTGCTGTGTGGTTCTTTGGGCTGTTGTATTTTGGGGTGTCTTTGTATTTTGGGGTGTCTCTGCCCTCCAAGCAGACGCTTGCTCCACCAGAGCCGCTGGTGGGCAGAGCTGGGTGTTGCAGGAGCGCGGTTTGGCAAGCGGAGCCGTTAATAAGCTGGTTAATTGGAAGGCAGGGGCGGGGGAGGCGTGTGGCCAGGCTCGTTTTGGTGAGACTCGTCATCTTTCGAGAGGCTCTTAGAGGCACCTGGGAAGATCTCGCGGCGACGCTGCCGCCCTCTCACTGCGCAGCGGTAAAAATATCCCCGGGGCTGGTGGCTGTTGTCAGCAGTATCTGCAGGAAGGGGGAGTGCACAGGCAGCGCCTGCTAACGAGCTTTTACAGGCAAATTAGACTTCAGGGCTTGGGTGAGGAGCTCCTGCTGTGGCTGGTGGAGGAGCTGCCCCACCAGAGCTGAGCGGTGGGATTTGGTCCTGGGGTTGTGGGCTCTGCTGGTGAAGCTCTCGGAGATGCTTCGTGTTTCTGCCCCCGGCTCTTCTGAGCACTTTGGGGGAGTGGGACCGGGGGGGCTGGGGGCGAGCTTGGCGTGGGCTTTCCTTCAGGGACCCCCCATCCATCCCCCAGCTCCCTCCGTCTGACACTGCTCCCTTTTCTCTCCTCTTCGTCTGCTCCAGCTGGTGCCAAAGCTTTCTAGAAACTACCTGAAGGAAGGGTACATGGAGAAAACGGGGCCAAAGGTAGGACATAAACCATTGCTGCCGTCCCTCTAAACACGAGCCTTGCTCTGAACGGGGCTGAGAAGGTTCTACTGGTGGGACAAACCCTTCTTTGCTGGGGAGGCGAAGCCTTAGCGCCCTGAATGCCTTCGTGCACTTTCCCCACCTGGAAGCAAATGTTAAAAATATCCAGACCCACCTCGTAGGGCACCCACACACCCCCCCCTTCACTGCCCGCTCCTGCAAGCCCACCTGGAGGAGCTGGACCCTGCTGTGCCAGCTGGTGGTGGCCCAGAAGCCACCCATCCCCAGCTCCCCCCAGCCCGTTGGGCTCCTCTGAGTGCCCTGGTTCTCTGGGTGGTGCCCGTAGGCGAGGGCCTGCACTGGTTTGGTGTCTAATCCGGTGTTTTTTGGTCTCTTCAGCAAACAGAGGGGTTCAAGAAGCGATGGTTCACCATGGACGACCGGCGGCTCATGTATTTCAAAGATCCCCTGGTAAGAGGAAGGTGCCTGGGCTGTCTGCTGGGAATAACCAACAATGACCATCATACTCCTCCTCCTGTTACTGACGATGATGATGATAAGCAGTGAAGCTCAGGCTGGTGGGAGCACCGAGAGGTCACTGAGCTGTCACTGTTGGGTGGACCTGCCGGGTGTTCAGGGTGCTGTAGCCCCACACACAGATACTCACCAGAAATGCTTTGGAAACCCTGGGGACCAGCTGCTGAGTTTTCTGCAGCTGAATGGAGGGTCCCCGGTGCTGGTCCCGTGCGGTGGGTGCCCCGGGGGGAGCTGGAGAGGGTTCCGTGGGGTGGCCGGTGCTTTTGGTGTTTGGCTGCTGCCCTTTACTGGTGGAGGCTGTGGCTGGTGTGGGGGTCCTGGCCACCCCTGGGTCACAGCCCAGCTCTCCACTGTCCCCCAGGACGCCTTCGCCAGAGGGGAGGTCTTTATTGGGAGCAAGGAGAACAGCTACAAGGTCCTGGAGGGGCTCCCGCCCTCCACCCAGGGGAACCACTGGCAGCACGGGATCACCATCGTCACCCCCGATCGGAAATTCCTCTTCGCCTGCGAGACGGAGGACGACCAGCTGGAGTGGATCACCACCTTCCAGAAAGTCATAAGCCGGCCCATGCTGCCTCAGGAATACGCAGGTGGGTTCGCTGGGGAGGGCGGGAGGGAGGAATTCCCCAACCCCCCCGAGATGGAGGGAATCGGGGATGGATGGAGGGGGACGGATGGAGGGGATTCAGGGAGCAGGGGGAGATGGATGGAAGTGACTGAGGATGGACAGAGGGGGATGAGATGGATGGAGGGGACTGAGGATGGATAAGAGTGGGATTGGGGTTGGACAGAGGGGGATCGGGGATGAGGGGGATGGAGGGAGGGGGATCAGAGATGGATGGAAGGGGATCGGAGATGAGGGGGATGGATGGAGGGGACTGAGGATGGATAGAAGGGAATTGGGGATGGACAGAGGGGGATCAGGGATGAGGGGGATGGATGGAGGGGATCAGAGATGGATGGAGGGGATCAGGGATGGATGGAAGGGTATCAGGGATGAGGATGATGGATGGAGAGGATCAGGGAGCAGGGGGAAGATGGACGGAGGGGACTGAGGATGGATAGAGAGGGATTGGGGATGAATGGAGGGCATGGGGGATGGATGGAGGATCAGGGATGGATGGAGGGGGATCAGGGATCCAGCAGCAGCGCTCCCTTGCGAGAGCCCTTCCCCACCTTGGGAGAGGGTACAAAAGCTGTCCAGGCAGAGAGGGGCTCACACTGGGGGGAAAAGGAGGAGGAGGATGGTCTCCTTCCCTCTTCATCACCTCTGCCGTGATGCCCACGGTGCTGTAAGGGTGGTCGGTCACCCAGTCACAGGTGGGTGCCAGGGAGCACGGGCAGGACAGGGACCACCTGCCAGGCCCTGGGAATCAGGGATGGATGGAGGAGGATCAGGGATCCAGCAGCAGTGCTCCCTTGTGAGAGCCCTTCCCCACCTTGGCAGAGGGTACAAAAGCTGTCCAAGCAGAGAGGGGCTCACACTGGGAGGAAGAGGAGGAGGAGGATGGTCTCCTTTCCTCTTCATCACCTCTGCCGTGATGCCCACGGTGCTGTGAGGGTGGTTGGTCACCCAGCCACAGGGATAACGGGAGCCAGGGAGCAGGGGCAGGACAGGGACCACCTGCCAGGCCCTGTCCTGCTTTTAACTTTATTTTCTGTGGTTTTCTCTTTCAGTGGAAGCCCATTTCAAACATAAACCTTAGCGGGGACTGGCTGGGCAGACCTGAGGAGTGAGCTTCTGTTTACAACACAACGTGGTTTTATTTGAAATGTTAAAATTAATGAATAATAATAATATTAATAACAGTAATAATAATAATACTTCCCTTTCCCCTCATCATTCACTTGATCATGTCGGAAACCAAGAAGGGCGGCAGCGAAATGTGGGAGAAGATGCTGATCCAACCTCAAATTTGGCTCCACTGGGCGAGGGGTCCCCGTCACCCCCTGAAAGGGGGGTCCCACCCGGACTCTGGGTGGCACATCTCGAGGGGAGATGGGGCTTTTCCCCACGAGCTGCTCCGTGGGGCTGGAGCTGAGTGTCCCCCAGGGAGCTGGTGACATCCTGGTGGGATGGGAAGCACCAACCTGGGACCAGCCACCATGGGGGTGTGTGGAATGACCCCGTGGGGGGATGTCCTGCCCGGGCTGGGCTCTAACGGGGTTTAGAAATAGAGGAAATCAGCCTCGTTGAGCTCGTTACCTGCTTAATGAAGGGCATGGAGCAGGGTTAACCCCCCCAACTCCCCTCAAGAAGCCCTGGACCCCTGCGGGGACGGAGCTGGTGACGTCCTGGTGGGACGGGAAGCACCAACCTGGGACCAGCCACGATTGAGGTGTGTGGAATGACCCCATGGGGGGATGTCCTGCCCGGGCTGGGCTCTAACGGGGTTTAGAAATAGAGGAAATCAGCCTCGTTGAGCTCGTTACCTGCTTAATGAAGGGCATGGAGCAGGGTTAACCCCCCCAACTCCCCTCAAGAAGCCCTGGACCCCTGCGGGGGATGGGGGGCCACCAAGCCAGGAGGTGACACCAGGGGAGCAAAGTTCCTGGTTCATGGGTTTCACCCCATTTCAGATGTGTGGGGTGGGGGGAGCAACAGGAGGTTGCTTCTTCAGATCGGTGAGTGCACTCCCCCCTCCCCATAATTCTCTTAAATTTTTTTCTTTGTTGATTTTTCTTTTTTGGCCAAAAAAAAAAAAAAAAAAAGCTGCTTGAAGTGACGTTTCAGCGCTGTGTTGAGCACTGTAATCCTGCCGGGGGGAAGGGGGCTGGGACCTGCACGTTGGGTGCTGGATTTATACCCCCCAAAGGAAAAAAATAAAGTGCCCGTCCCCGCCCGGCGCGTGTGTTGGTGTGTGTAACGAGAGCATCCCATGGCTGTGTGCGTGCCCCCCCTCCCTGGTGACACCACTGTGGTACTAAATGTCAGTCCAACCAATAAATGATGATGTCCGAGCCGTGGCCGTGTGGTGCTGGGGCTGGGGGGGGGGAAAACACCTGCAGACACCAAGGTGAGGGTGTGGGGAGAGCCCCGGGGGGACAGACGGACATGGGATACCCCCAGGGTGTGTACACACCATGTAAATATATGGCATGTAACCCCCACACACCTATTTATAATATACAACATGGTGTATATGTATTATATAATCTACATTGTACCTCTTTTATATAGACATATATATAAATTTCATATTTTATCATTATGGATGCACACACATACACACAAGAGATTATTTTTCTTGGGCCTATAGAAATAAATTCTGTTGCCTATTCAGACACAACCATAAACTGCACACAGCAGCTAAAAGCATAATCTATAATACACTGTGTGTGTACCTGTGAGCTGAATATAGTTCATAGGAGTACACACGTGTATATGCAGCCATCATTAGACATATATACATTTAACTTACAAATATATAAGCTAAATGTACTCCATACATAGATTTGTATAGGTATAGAGGCTTTTTTTAGTAATTGCAAATTTAGAAAATATTTAGTTATATATTATATACACATGGACATGCTTTTTATATAGGGATATAAGTAGGGGTGTGTATATACACACCTTTATATATATATATAAGTGTAAAGGACATAATTATACATATATTAAAATTTAAGAAAAATATATTGCATAGAAACATATCTATATCCACATGTGTATGCCTAAGTATAGCTAGGTAATTAATTTATATTAGAAGCATTTATAAATGTTTTACACCCATACTGTCACTTACTCATACTTACTTAAAAGCCCAGGCTCCTTGGTGGTGTTTACAGCTGGCTAGAAAGACTGTGTGTGCATGTTTAATATTATAAATTACAAAGCATAACATTATTTCATTATAAATTGTTATACACACAAAAGACTGTTTATTTGTGTGTGTGTATATATTTTAATATATATTATTATTTCACACACACACATTCTGTATAGACAGCTGTAATTCCCAACTGGGTATTTCATGTGCTGCAAATCAGAGCCACCCCCAACACCCCACTCACCCTCTGCCTTTAACCACCTGCAGCTCCAGGGCCCAGGTGACCCTCAGTCAAACAGGGGATGGAGGGGGAGACAAACACCAAGTCAAGCCCAATGTGCACTCACGGAGCTCACACATCTCACCGTCACCTCTCCTGGTATAAAGTGTTTATTTGAGACTTCACACTTAACACAAAGTCTTCCTTTCGATGCCTTTTTTCTTTTTCATACAGTCAATAAATTTGTGTTAACCCCTCCCCCCCCCATGCATGATTGCTGTTTATTAATTAATCTAAGCCTTTTTTATTTTCACCATGAAAAAATAAAGCGTTTCCCCCCCCTTTCATCCGTGGGCTGGTACCCCAGCCCCCGCCGGGCTGCGTTCCAGGAGGAGCTGCAGAAAGGCTGTTCCCTACCACTGCGCTTCAAGTTACTCCATTATTTATCCATTTACTCTTTTTTTTTTTTTTTCATTTTACAGAAAGTGTTAAATGAATCAATCAATCACCCAAGAGAAAAATAAATATATGGTAAAGAACCAGAAGTTCTGCAGTATCCCTTCCCTTCCCAGGCAGCTGTGTTTCCAAGGCATACAGCTGGGGACTCGCACTCGCTCTGTCCCAGAGGAGCCCACCCACCACTTTTTTTTTATATCTAGGCCAGAGAGATCCACAGGGAAGCCAATTACCTACGTCCCACTGATTGGCTTTTACTGGAGAGCAATTAAATCTTGTGCTTTTCAGGCAGTGTGGGCCATACTCACGGCTCCGGGATGCGCAGCGCGGATCCGGGCTCCTCAGGCGGGTACTTTTGGCACCGGCCTCGCAAAGAACGTTACTCAAAGGATCCCTCTGCCTCCCCACGGCTTCCTGCAGGCTGTCTCGTGAGAAGGATGGCACTGGGTGAGGCCCTGAGGTACCAACCCCACCATTCTGCTTTATGCAATTGCTGTGCAAAAGGGAATACTGCGTCAGAAACCGGAGAAGACCAGATTTTTAATCAAAAAGTCAACAGCCGCTGTATGGGAAACCTGCTAACAGCCACCTGCTCCCATCGCTTCGTTTGGCTACTTTTGGTTGGTTTCTTTCTTTTTTTTTTTTTTCTTTTTTTTTTTACATAAATAATATAGACCAAACATTATAAACATTTCAGCAACCATTTCTAAAAGACCGGAGGAGCCCTTTTAGGCGCCAAGAAACAACCGCAGGATTCAAATTCCAAAACTGTCTTTGGAGCCATCGAATCACCAGATTTACAGGGCACCCCTCAGTCCAGCTCGATGGGACTGCTGTCCTCCTGCCCCTCCTCCGTGTCCTCGTCCTCTCCAGTTCCCATCAGACTGTTTAAAAGATTTCCTAGAATAAAACACAGGGCAGTCAAAATTGCCATTTACATTCTCATCTCAAGAACTTTTAACTATTCTCCCACTGCTCTTGATTGATAGGGTGCAGAGTTCAATCATGGAAAAACCTATTTATTTGTGGTTTTTTTTAGTATTCCCATGCTGGTTTCCAATAACAATTTATTGATTGGGGAAGCTGTATTTTGATACTTTTCCTCCTCTAAGAGTGCACTGGAAAAACTCCACTAAAATCACATACTTATGGGCTGTAGCTGCAGCACGAGGGGAAAGAAAAGCCCCATCTAAATGAGGAAAGAGAGACCTGTAGCCAGGAAACTGCCAAAACCCAGGAATGGTCTGCATCGTGCTCTAAACGTTGGAGGCATTTATGCATTCTCCCTGTTTTGTTCAATGTAAAGATGTCTGAATTACCAAGAAGCTGGATCATACGGGATCTACAATGCTCATGTTTTTCACAAGCTTTGAGTATCCATGATTTGACGTTTGCAGGTAAAGCTTCAAATCACTTTCCAAACAGAAAAGCTTTAGTTCTCAAGGGAAAACATTCCATTTTACAGAAGTAATCCCGTTCAATTTGCCCACATTTTATTCAAGAGCCAGGAATTGAGGGCTGAATTTCTCTATTGCCTTTCACTCCTCGTGGAAGGGCAGTATTGATTTCACAACTTCTACTTCGGCAACATTCATTTCATACCAGCACTGGTTACATCTCTGCCCAAGTGCCAGGCTTGGCTTAAGGAAAACCATTCACTCAAGTCTGAGGAAATGAAACTTTAACACAAACAAGATTTTTCTTTACATTTGGCATTTATGCCATAATGTCAAAAATTAACCCTGAGATTCATTGACATGCTTCTGCCCTTCCCAAAGATGGGAAGTCTATAAGCTTCACCAAATTAATTTCACATGAAACCAATTTATCTCATATTCTACAGTAGGGACTGCTGCTACAGGCTGTGAAAAAACTGATATATGCATTAGAACAAATGATCTGTTTCCAGCACAGCCACTGTGTATCAATTACCAGCACAAACTCACCTAGTAACCCTCCGTAGGACGATGTCTGCTTGGGCGGAACACCAAAGAAAAGCTGTCCTATTCTATCGAGGTACTGAAACAACACAAGGGGAACAAAAACGTCAGCAACTTCATTTAGAGGTGGAAACAGCAGGGGCAGCAGCCACACCACACAAGCCAGATCCCACTCCTGGGTGCAGTCACAGAACAGGAGACATTCAGCTGTTATTTAACTAATTCTGTGGGTTAAATGCTGTTTGCAGCTGGGAGTAACTCACCTCATTATACATGGGGTCTCTTTTCAGTGAAGGTTGATACTGTTCACACAATACTGTAAATACTGTTAGTTTTCCTCTGGAAAGGAAACAACCAGAAATGTGATTTCAGTAACAACTGGAAAGGAAACGGAGAAAAATGGGAGAAAAATCAGACTGTACCCGTCAACTGCCAACAACAGAAACCAGATGAAGTTTAGCAGCGGTTGGACAAAGGGCGGACCCTTTTCTATGGAAGGGTGTTTCTGTGTGTACGTCGTGAAAACAACTGATGCACTGGTCTTATTTTTTAAGCAGAGAAACCTGCAAAAGGAAACAGAACAGGACAAGTTAAAAATAAAAGGCGGAGAAGCAGTTTTACATGCAGAGAGAAAAAGGGAAGCCAAACGCTCGACAAACTCTACTTCATTTGTGCATAGAAACCATCTCGGGATTAAACTGATGGCAAAAACTGACTGGCAGAGCTCTTTGGCAATGGTTGGCCCATCAGCTGAGGAAGGGGAAAAACCACTACTGAACTACACCGTGGAATAAGCAGGTTGGGAGGGAGAACTGACACTAAACATTAACGGAATGAGCTTAACCAAGATCTAAGCAGCTTGTGTACAGGATGGTTACTGAAAGAGGGCATCAATTAAATCAAAATGTGGAAAGACTGGCCACCATGTAATTCAGATTAAATGTGACATTGCATTTACTTGTCCAGAGTTACTATGATAAGGTAAAAACCTAATTAAAGACCTCTCTCCTGCCCCCATCCATTCCCAAACACATCTCCTCTCAGCATGTGTCTGACAACTCTGCTGTTCCATCAGCACCAGCTCAGAACAGCCTGGCAGCAGATCACTGAGAAGTTTGTCCCACACGTCTCAGCACAAAGCTGCCCTTTGAGCTGCCCAGCCTCGTGTCAGCAGTTAAAGGATCCATTTCCCAACCCTTGTTTGGGTCTGGTTAATTTAACTGGCAATCTCCTCAAGTCCCACAGGCCTAACAAGGGACTTTACTGGGACAAAAGCTGCTGGTGAGCCCTGGGAAGGCTGCCATGAGCTGTCTCATTCTTGGCGGCCTCCAGTTCTGCACCCTCACACGGGCAAGGGCACTGGGCCCTTCTGCCAGCAATTATTGTCATTAGAGTAGAAACTGCCATGTAAGAGGATTTAGTGCAGTATTTGAGCTATAGGCCAGGGAAGGATGTGGTATATCGCTGTATAAATGCTGAAAAAATAATCTCTTACTGATACCTTCTCTCCAGAATTTCCCCCCCTGTCCAGAACAAAGCCCCAAAAAATTGTTTAGGAGTCCTGCATGAAGGATTTTCTACCTCTCAAAGTGACTGCAGGCTGTATCAGGGAAAGCAGGACATATCTGAGATGACAGCTGGCTGCTGCCAGCAGAGACAGGCTTGCTCTCACCTCCTCCCTCTCCCCAACACCTCCTCGCTCCCCGACTCCCCGCTGCACAGCCCTGTCTCCACCTCCTCCTCAGCCTCCTCCATGAGCTGCTTTCCATCCCCAGAGAAAGCCATCAGCTGATTAAACACAGTAAAATTGGCTTTGTCAGCCTCAATTGCACATGAGCTCTGCAAAGGCACACCAGGGCTCGCATTCCCACCCCCTACAAGAAGTCAATGAAAGCCCCCACAGCTCTGCAGCCCCAGAAGGGTCGTGCTGCTGCTCCCAGCCCAGGGTGACCCGAGACAAACCGTGTCTCAGGACAAGGAGCCGGAGAGCAAGGACCACACTAAAGGTAAATATAGAGCCTGCTTAGTTCAGGCCCGGTAAGGACATCAAGGTAAGCCCTAACTAGGCATAAAGTGGTGTTAACAAAGCTAAGAATTGTGCTTTCAGGGTCAAACAGATTACATTAATTCTTCAGGCAATTAACGTGCTTTCAGGTTTCAACCTTAATCCGTTATTTGTTTTTCTCTCTCTCCCAATCTGACCAACTCAACACACCGTTTTTGAGACCTTTTTTTTCCCCATTGTTACTCCACAAAGAGAGTTTCAGAAGCTCTTGCCAGTTTCTTCCGAAAAGGACGCACGGTTAACCTACAGTTATCACAATTACATTAGATTGGCCCCACACACAGTGTCACCTCAGCAGAACAGTTGAAAACCAAAGTGGAACACCTACTGTAGTACTGCCTGTGCTACAAACATGTCCACCTCGCTGCGGTAGCCCCTGGCCGAGGAGTACTCCACTAGCATATTAGCACATCCTTCGCCATCTGTGGAGTGCAAGAAGTGATACCGAGATTCACTATAGTTTTGCTCTATAAAAGGAAAAAGAAAATGGCTTTTAAGAAATCGGTTCATTGTACCTGAACGTAAAAACAAATCTGTTAGATTATTACACTACAGCAGGTGAAAGGACAAGAGCTACACACACCGTATATAAGCAACACAACAAGCAAAAAAGAGAGTAGGCTTTTTCTTATAAGTTACACACAATTTATAAAGCAAGATAATAAATGTTAACCTAAATACATTTGATTTAAATAGCTTTATAAGTTACACACAATTTATAAAGTGAGATAATAAACATGTTAACCTAAATACATTTGATTTAAATAGAATTTATTCCATACAACCACAGAACATAGCCACCACTGGGACAAACAGCCTGAGCTGCGGCGCTATCGTTTGATCTAACTGCACCTTGGCACTTCAGGGGCTGTCACCAGTGCTCAGGAGAAGAATCAAGAAGTTCCACATTAGACCACGTGCACCAAGAAGTCAAACAGCACCTTCCTTCTCAGTGCACAGAAAGAAGGCATTCCCTATTTTTAGCTTAGCCCACTCTCGCTATCAAAATTAAAATTGCTTCCTTAAGCTGAAGAGAACAGCGATTGTACAGGGAAAAAAGGTCTAAGAAACGACAACGACTTGTTAGAACTTAACTCGAAGCAAAGCATCATGCAAAAGCCCTGCAATGACAAATCAAACCTGCACAGCTGCTAATATTTTTGGATTTAAGAGCTTTGTTTTAAAAATCTGAGCCTTTTCTGATGAAACTCTCAAAAACTACAGACTGAGGTAATGTATGTATTTTGCTCTTGGAAAGAACAGCGAGCAGACGGCTGCAAAATGGGGACTGTTACTTGCAGGATGCAACTGCTTCTTATCCTAATTCTATCTCAGCTTCTCACTTAAATGCTCAGAGGAAAATCCCCCCTTTCTGCAGCCACAAGCTAATCTAAGTCCCAGGGGAACAGGCACGGGATTGCCACAGCTGGAATGCTGACCATTGGGTCAGGATTGTTATGTGAAACCACCATCATCACTTCGCAGCTACTGAAAAATTTAAAATAAACAAACAATATCTCGCACAGTTATTAAACCGCAGGAGAGATGGCATTTATTCAACTGTTCTCATCCACCTTTGTTATGTTTTAAACATAAGACTTTAAAAACTGGCTATCATCTGCAATTAAAATAACTATTCAGTGCATTTTTGGTTTCCCTTACACCCCATCACAAGTGATAAAATCCCACAAAAATCAAAGGCAGTGGCATTCATTCTGGAATAAACCTGCTGGTCAATCTCTCAAAAAATACCCAATTAGAGATTCACAGACTGTTTTGGGTGCTGGGCGATGGATTTCAATCTTTTTTAGGTTTATCCAGGATTTAAAACCCAAAAAAAACCCCAAAATAGAAGAGTTTTGTGCCCAAGCAATTTTCCTCCTAATGACTCAGTCAAACTCCCTCAAAGTCTGCAGGATCAGCCTCCCTTTTGCAGAGAGCATTACAGCAGTTGGGTTTTGCACTAATATAGAGTTACAGCCCCAGATTTTTTTTTGGTTAGTAACACGAAGCTGAAGTTACTGCAAAAATCAGGCAACAGCAGAACTCAATCAACCATTTCCACCTCGGCTTCCTTCGATTATTCCCAAAGTAGATCTCCTACAATATCACACTTTCACCATTTTCCCAACGAAACACAGAAAAGCCAGTTGATTTTTCTTACCTTTCCACAGGGTAATCGCTAGTAACTGGTGTAGTTTGGGATGTCCAAGTTTCCCTGATCCCCCACTAGACCACTTTAGTGCTCTGGATACGAAAGCCACTCTTTCGGGAGAATTGGGATCCATTAAACTAAACAATTTAGCCAGGTTTTCTAGAAGCAATAAGATTCACAAACATTTAGCATTAACAGCGGTAGGATGAAACGCTGCATCTTTAAGCTATGACATTTAAACTAAAGTGCTGCTGTTATCAGGAACCTGTTATTCTCTAATAAAGCTTTCCCCCAGTCTGTTTTTACGCCACGTGAGAGAGCGGACAGGGAGGATTTCAGGTTTTGAGCCTGTCACCAGCAGTGCCAGTGAAGCCAAAGCCCATCTGAACACCACCAAACCCAGCACAAAGGGCACCTCACCTAAAAGGTCGTCGGCTACTTTTGCATCCGATTTCTCCAAGGACTCCAACACCAGCATGGAGAGATCTGCAGCGCTGTTTTGCTGCAAAACAGACACACGTGGGCAGTGAGGAACGTATCGGTACGGAAAAAAAAACAGCAACCAGAAGTTTGCCAGAGGCAGATTTAATACTTTGACCAACATCTACAGCACAGTGTCAAGTCTCAGCCTTCCCTTATAACATAATTATAGTAATTTGATGGCATTGGAAGAGAAGGCTCCAGGAAAGCAAACCAAATGTGGTTACGATTATTGTTTGGATGCTCAAACACTCCTGCTTTATGCTCCAGCTTGGCATAATCCTCCTTAGCGGAGAAAGACTCAACAAAGAGATAAAATAAAAGATTACAAAGCAATTACCCCAAACGTTTACCACAGAGAATCCACCATTCATCACTCAAAATCTTGGAATAACAACTACCCCCAACCACACGTGAAACACGGGACTTACCTGGTTATGGCTGAAGAACAGCAAAGCCCCTGAATACATTAATTCTCTTGCTTCTGCGTATTTTCCTTGTGACATATACCTGAAAACAACATCAAAGCCTTGATAAAAAATAGCACTAGGTTGTGTACGCTTAAAGTCACTTACATTTAAAGGATTAAAGATCACTAAAATTTAAAATTAAGGCAATAAGGGATGTATTTTTAAATCAGGTTAGTTTCAATAATGATGTAACTCTAACTTCAAGCTACAATTTGTTTTCTGCTCTAGACGTGATGGAATACAAGCAGAGAATACAAAAATGAAAATTGAGAGCTTCAAACCTGATTTGGGCTGAAACAAAGAAAAGCAAACGACCCCAGGAGTTCACCTGAGCAAGAGCCACCAACGCACTGAACTGCACCGCACAGACTGTCACCAAAACCAAAGCCACCACAGGGACAGCTTTTGGGACACAGCCTGGGCAGGTCGCACACCCCGCTGTATCCAGCCCTCTCCTCACTGATGGCTCCTTTCCCTGGTTTAGTCTCTCTGGCCACTAGACCCTCTGCCAGGGGACATCAGCCACAGACTGGTCCTCTGCTGAGCCGGAGTAACTGGGCTCTGATGGGACACAAGCAGCCAGCAAGATTTACCACACAACACTTCACAGCCACCAATTCACAACAGGAACAAGTCTGCCCTTGCAAATATAGAGCTTCCAAACACACCTGCTCCATTTAGGAGTTAAACAAGAAATGAAGAACAAAAGGATTTGTTCCCAATGGTTCCCTCAAGAGCAGGAGCCTCTCACCAGGGTGCTGTGACTGCAGCCTCCTGCACACCCTCACTGTCGGTAACTACGGGTCTTGGATAGTCACATCTCCAGATTAGGAACACACTTCCTATAGGAGCAGTTCAGGTGTGGCAGCAATTAGAGCTTCCAAGGTCTATTTCTCTTAACTGTTTCTCAAAAAGCATTTTCTGAGTAGTTCCTAACAACAGCCAATATCAAGAAGAGAAGATGCCAGTTCTCCCACAATATTCGTTTTGTCCCCTGGGACACGTGGCCGTGCCCTGCCCCTGGTCCCCTCCTCTGCTCCCACAGAGGCCAGGCCCCCCCAGTGTCCCCACGGGGGACTGCTGGGTCAACGTGGGCACGGAGGGGTGACACTAACCCAAGGGACAAGGAGCAACGGTGGATCCCAAAAGCTCCTGTGCTGCGGGTGAGACTCCGGTCACACGTGGCAGTCCTGGGGACAGGTCCTACTGGTAAAATCAGCTCAGACAACAAACAAGGGAGGAGTCAGTCCTGCCATCCTGCTCATCCCCGGCCCCAAAACCACCAGGTCTTTCATCCAAACCAGCACAACTGCAATAATGGATGGCACGGGGGGGTTGGAATAAGCAGCCCCAACAAGTGAGACTTGCAATCACCACAGTAAATGCCCCGCACGTCAGTCAAAGGCACTGACAGCTCCTCACACCCAGCCCTGCTTCTAGGCATTCGGCTCCGGATCTCAGCATGGAAATACAAATTCTACTGCCAGTACATTCCCAACGCTACTTGGGAGCTCCTAATCTGGGAATTATCACAGCAGATACCAAAAGATGCTGAAAACAGCTTTACAATATTAAATGCATTTAAAAGAGTTGGGCTGCTTTCTTAAAAAGAACTTTTATTTTGAAAGATTTTTAATAAAAATAAATATTCATAACATTGATCTAAAGGGCATTCAGAACGAGAGAAATCCTGGAACTGATCATTCACACCAGGAAAAGCACCTACAAGCATCAGGAAAGCAGATGCCAGTGTAACTACAAGGGGGATGCTGAAGTTGGAAGCTGGACCCTGTCACCAGCCCATGAACAGACTCAGCCCGGCCGGCGCCGCCCGGCACCGACATTCCCGGCCGGAGGGGCAGGGACTCGGAGGGGCAGGGACTCGGAGGGGCAGGGACTCGGAGGGGCAGGGACTCGCTGCTCGGGGTCAGGCAGGAGCAGCAGTTTCCCACCTGCTCCCGGGATGCCAGGGAGGGATAAGGAGTCGGCAGGAGGAGGCTTATGATAATCCTTCCTTCTCCGCTGCTTCCCCTCCTCCAGGCTCACACACGCCTCAGTTTATGATTCCTGAAGCTCTGAGTCAGGATTTCAACTTTAACACACAGCTCAGGAGGGAACGGAGTAATGTTTTACAGGCCGCTGGTGTTTACAACAGGCAGGCACTGGCTACCCCAATTACAATTCCACAGCTGAGATCATCTCACTCCGGGCTGCCGTGCTGCTGGAAAACTGCTGACATCTAACACATCCAACATACATTTTACAGCAGGCAGGCAAGACTTTCCAGGACTCTTTTTTTGGCTTCAGTGATTTTTCCAAACCTCATTACATTTTCTGCCTAGAAGGAAACCCTTCTCCTTGCTATGCAAATGTCACCTTTTCATTTAATCGAGCACCTCCTTTCTCTTGCATTTAAAATGGAAGAGGCAGGATCTTTGATTCCAAATTAATTCAGGGAGGCTTAGGCAAAGTATGGGAGTTAATACACTGAGGAGACTGGATGAGAAGTGACCTGCTGAGCCCAGCCACCTCCTGCCACTGCTGCCACCACATCACATAATCCTTATGATAAAATAGGCCATGCTTTATCTTACATTTAGATTTATTTTCAAATACAATTTAAGTCTAAAGGTCTAGACACTGCCCTTGCTGATCCCATCTGAGGCTACGGCAGAACACAACTGCTTTAATTCACCCGTGCCTGGCACTAACAGTGCAGGGCAGGATGTCTTATGCACGCTGGCAGCAGATGCAGGGCTGGGCACCCTCTGGGACCCTCTTCCCCACATGCCTGGCCACTGTTTTCCTGCAGATGCCCACAGCCCCCTCCCATTCCCCTTCTGGGGACAGACGACACACATGTGAGGTAATCAGATTCCAAAGGTAGCTTTCCCACCTGGCCTCCCTCAGCAGAACCACAAATGAACACAGCTGGGACCAAACGAGGAAGCCCTGGAAGAAATACCTTCTTCTGTGCCCCTGCAAGCAGTTCTGTGCACAGAGCCCTACAACTGTCCACATCAGAAGGGACCTTTCAGACCATTGGGTCCAACCATCACCCTAACACTGCCAAACCCACCACCACCCCACGTCCCCCAGCACCATGTCTGCCTGGCTTTTAAATACCTCCAGGGATGGTACATTTTAAATTTTGATGAGAGAAAGGGTGACCGCTGCAGCGGATGTGAAAAATAAAAACAATCTAAAGGAGTTTTGCAATAAAAATAAGGTTTCTTACACCATAAGAGGCAGTAGCAGTATTTCTGAATAAATGCCCAGGCCTGCTCTACTGAGCCACTGCCACGCACACACACGTTACAGCAACGGGAACCCATTCCAGCAGAGCTCCCCCTCCCTCAGAGGGGTCCCAGAGTGATCTCCGTGCAGCAGGGTGGCCCCATTCCCTGCCCGACCATCAACCCGAGGCCTTCAAACCCTGAAAGGGCTTTTTCCCCGCGCCGGCAGCCAGGCTGGCCTTCACCGCCAGCTGGGGCCGTCAGGGAGGCTCCGGGGCCGGGAGAGGCGGCGGGCCGTGCCCCGGGCCCCAGGGGACGGTGGGGGGATGGCGGGGGGTCACTGGGGCCGCCAAGAGACGTTTGGGGCCGGGGGGCGAAATTCCGTTCTCTCCGCGATGGGGACGCGTGTGACGCAAGGCGGCCTGGGCGCGTCACGGGCCGGTGCCCTCCGGGGCCGGGCCCCCTCCCTCGGCCGGGCCTGCCCGGGGTTCACCTTCAAACCCCGGCGAGCGGCGGCGAAGGGTCCCAGAGTGATCTCCGTGCAGCAAGGTGGCCCCATTCCCTGCCCGACCATCAACCCGAGGCCTTCAAACCCCGAAAGGGCTTTTCCCCGCCCCGGCAGCCAGACTGGCCTTCACCACCAGCTGGGGCCGTCAGGGAGGCCCCGGGGCCGGAAGAGGCGGCGGGCCCTGCCCCGAGCCCCAGGGGACGGTGGGGGGATGGCGGGGGGTCACTGGGGGCGCCAAGAGACGTTCGGGGCCGGGGGGAGAAATTCCGTTCTCTCCGCGATGGCGACACGCGTGTGACGCAAGGCGGCCTGGGCGCGTCACGGGCCGGTGCCCCCCCGGGCCGGGCCCCCTCCCTCGGCCGGGCCTGCCCGGGGTTCACCTTCA